ACTTGACAATTAAGAGGAAGAAAAGCAGGTCACAGGGAGGCTTTACAATATAGTAGTGTGTGGATATTCCAATAAGGTATCCATCAGGATTTTGTGCTGCAGAACATTATTTTTCATGCAAATTACAAGTGACTGCAGTGGCAACGTAGATGCCATTAGCAAGTGCAGTCTTTGAGCCCTGGGGTGTGGCTTAATGGTCCCAGGCACAGTAATTTTGTGTCTTTTTTTTTTTCCTTCTGAGTATGTGTGAGAGAGAAAGGTAAAAATGGGCTATTATTTCTATGGCCCCACATTAATGCTGACATGCCTTGCAAGGAATCTCATTATGTTTCTTATTTCTGAGTCAAAGTGCTTATGTTAGAAAGCAGCTAAAATTTTACCTGTAGGAAAATTGGCACAATTTCTTATCTTACCATCCTCAGTGCCAGGCATTAAAAAATGCACTTTCTTTTTGGGCAATTTTGCACAGTGGGAACTTTAAATTATTTACAGCTTTCCTTATCTGGAATCCGAGGGAAGGGACCACTTTCCACACCACAGTTGGTCCTGGGAAATGTTCTTAGGGGGAAAAAGAAGTGGGAATGAATTACTGATGTGAACAAGAGTCAGAGAAAGAACAAAGAGTGTCCAAACACAAGACTGCTCCCGCTCATGTCACTAATGTGGACATTTGGGAGGAGCAGGGACAGCAAGAAGCTGGAAATAGCATGGCTCTCAGGGGCTTCTGCAAGTCGGCTTTGAAACAAGCTGGGGCAGATGACAGGAAGGAAATCCCCCGGTGCGATGTGGAGAGCTGGGCTGGGCAGTGCGTTACTGGTCAACGAAGCGCTGCACGAGTTTTTGAACCCGGTGAAAGCTTTGAATTGCCCACTTCCGGTCGGTGCATTAAACCCATCCCGTGAGATTTGTCTTCATGAAGCCATTTCTATCTGGGTTCCCTGTGAAGCAGAAGCTGATGTGTGCCTGAGAAGCCAAGGGCGGCAGTTAGAGGCACGTGCAGGCTTGTGGGGATAGGGCTGTGGCAGAGGCTGCAGGCTGAGGGCTCAGGCGAAGCAAGAGGTTTTAGGATGAGCCCTAGTCCTCGTGACAGGAATGACCCTTTCCCAGAAGCCCTCTGCAGACCGTGCGAGCGTCACGTTGTAAAACAGCCATTCCAATAAACACAGGATTTTATTTGCTTTTCCTCATGTACTTTTCTCCCTGTGTTGAGACATGTGTTTGCAGTGAAGGCTGAGTGGTGCTTTCTTGAAGGTCACCCTGCCCTGGTAACAAAGCCATCTCACCACCTTACCCTGAGGGGGCGGGGTTGGGTACCCCTGTGCTTCCGGACTCTACCCCAGCAGCCTAAATCCCTTCCCCACCGCAGTCATTATGATTACCAAGCCTCAATTCTGTTCCAATTATATTCTTGGGGCCATGGTGTCCACTTTGTGGATGTAGACTATAGTGTGTGTGTGTGTGTGTGTGTGTGTGTGTGTGTGTGTGTGCACGCGCGCGCACGGGGGGTAAGTGTGAGCACGAGTGTGGCGGCCAGGGGGGGAAACCTCAATTGTTCCACAGGTGATACCTACTGTATCATTACTATCATTTTGAGACAGTCTTTCACTGGCCTACAGCCTGCTCTGTAGCCTGGGCTGGCTAGAGAGTGAGCTTCAGGGATCTGCTGATCCCCACCTGCCCCGTACTGGGATTACAAGAGCATGTGCGTCTGTGCTCCGTGTTTTATATGGGTTCTGGGGTCACCAGCAAGTTTTCATGCTTGTGTGGTGAGTGCTTTACCGACAGAGCTATCTCCCAAGCTCCCTCCCTATACTTCTTGAGTTAAATTGAACAACCGAAAAGTGTGGTGACTTTATCAAGGTGTTGGGTGCCTAACTTAAGAACTTAACATCTTACATACTTGGAATTTGACGATAAGGCTGTGAAGACGATCTTGGATATGTAGACCTGAGCCTCCTGTGTGGCCCTAGTCATGATACCACACCTGTGCGGGCAGCATGGAAGTTCGATGTGTGTTTCTGATTTATAGGACACACTGACATACATTTTGAAGTCACTGTGTGGCATTAGCTGGGTCACGATGACTTTGTCAACACTTAAAAATCACTGTTCTCTGAAATAGGAAACACAGCTGAACACAGGCCTGCCCGGTCTGATGGCTCTCTCTCTCCTTCCTTGAAAAGATCTCCATTTGTTATTACAGAAATCTCTAGAATACATCTTCCCTGACCCTGAGAACATGGTTTCCTTTGTAATCAGAAAAATAGAAAGGATTTTTACAAAGTTCATTAGAATTGGATTAGTTTCTTAAGTTTAGACAGCTTAAAACATACTTTCTAAAAGGCTTTTATGATCTTTAATTATACTGCAAAGAACAAGGAAAGGACATTTTAATGTTGGACAGAAACGGGGGTCTTCTGTCACAGCCAGACTCAGAATAAAGAATGATTTGCCTTGGAGGCTGTTTTCTCCCTTTTAATTCCTCAGACCCAGTGGCTAGTGCTTACTTACATGTTCCCTCTGCAGGGGACATGTTGCAGAGCTCGTGCAAAGCAGGGACCACAGCACTGAGAGAAATTATAATTGTGGTCATTTTTTTGTTTTGTTTTGTTTGAGACAGGGTCTCACTGTGTAACTCTGGCTATCCTGGAATTCACTACGTAGTCCAGGATGTCTGGCCTTGAACTCACAGAGATTCACTGGCCTCTGCCTCCTGCGTGTCGGGATTAAAGGTGTGCACCACCACACACAGCTATACTTGTGGTCACTTTTCAAAGATGATATACCCACTAGGTACACCATGTAGAGAATATGAAGCAGAATGTGGCGTTTTCTCCTCCAGCTACCAGATCCTTTTTTTGAGGCATCTAAGTGTACCAGTAATTAATCATACAGTAATTAATACACTTGAGCAAGCAAGCAACATGTTATATATATGAAGGGATATGTATGTACACACATATGCACAGACATACTATATGAATCCATTAATGCATGTGTATGTCAAAGCCAGGTGGGATGATGCATGCCTTTGATCTTGGCTACATGGAAGGCTGGGACAGGAGAGCTGTGAGTTGGAGGTCAGCCTGGACTGTAGGAATTCATAGACTGAATGTGGGTATGTAATCTGAATAGTGAGCATAAATTCCATGTTTTTGAGAAAAATATCTCCAAATGGACATCGTGCAATCTTTAATTCCTTGATAAGGCACACATTATTTCAATACACCCCCAGCTATAAAAACCATTGCCGTTTCAGAGCTACATCTTCAGAAGTGGATCGGGTTCAGTTATGCAAGGCAGTGGGGTAACATTCAAGAGGCGTCACTGTAAATTCACAGCTCATCAGATGTAAAATGACCATAACATGGTCCTTTTCCACCTGAAATAGTTGAGCACAAAACGGCTGTTTTCCCATACCTTGTTGAAGGCACTGTGCAAAGGCTCTGATGACATGAAATAGCGACCACAGTGGATTTTCATTCTGCACGATTCCTGGTAAAGCATTAGCTGTCATTTAATAGACTTTGCATCACATGTATGTGGAGGTCAGCTCTCTCCTTCCATCCAGTGGAAAGGAACAAACTCAGGTCTGCAAAAAGCAACTGCCTTTATCCAATGAGCAATCTTACCAGCCTTGTTTTATTTTTTTAATATACTTACACACGTTACCTATTTTGCCGATAGCCTGCTTGTTTTGTTTATAGCCATATAGATTTATGTTTCTGTTAGACCACCCACTTTAAAAAAAGAATCTCCATTTATCTCACTTTCTCCATATGCTATTTTATTTTATAGTCATGTCTTCAATCATCTCTTTTATAGTTTGTAGAAACAATCCATCCCTGCTCATGGACGCTACTTCTGGTTGTCCTTACAAACTTCTAGGAATTCCTTTGTCTATGTTTTTAAATTCAGATCTACAATATTTCAGATCAGGTTTCTCTTATGATACAAAATACCACCACAGATACTAACATCCTTCATGCATCTGGATTTTTATTGGCTTATTTATGTGTTTGTGTTTCTGCTATGCAGTTTCAATTGCAATTTATTTTAATCTTATTCATAGAGGATCTCTCAATGAGTCATTTTGTGTTATCATTTCAGCGTTTCATGATCTACGTTGCTTCTTTGGAATATTTAGTTGGCAAAAAAAATTTCCACTCGTGTATTTATTGTGATAGTTTCTATGGATATCATAGACTATTCAGTGTTCCAGTGTCTTGTCTCTCTTCACAGGAACCCTGCCCATGTCTTGTTAAATTTATTCCCATTTAAAACTGATAATTGTAAGAATTCTGCTATTTCTTTCTATAATCACTTTTAGACAAACCACTTGAGGGTTCCAAGTAGATGTGTGCTTGCTGTGGTTAGAATTTCACTCCTTCCTGTGTGAGCTCACGTTTCTGTTATGTGATGAATACCATGACCAAAAGCAACTTACAGGAGAAGGTTTATTTTGTCTTAAGGTTCAGGAGGGAGAAACTGTAATCATCCAAAGTGAAATCATATCAACTTGTATTCAAAATCACACCCGAAGAGAGGTCATGATTTAAAGGTCTCAGTTCCTAACTGTCTAATACTGCCTCTGTGATCTAGGGACACACCAGTGCTGTGGTACCCACATGGCAGGTAGCCTGCCAATGTAATGCCATGGGCTTACATTAAGGTGATGTCACACAGGTAACTTGAAATCAGTCCTGGGCAGTGTGTTCTCATCTTAGATTCTGGCAAATGCTCCCCAACCAGAACTTGATTTATTGTTATATTTCTTGTCCAACAGATGGAAGCACTGTAGAAAATGTTGGCAGATGTGTATTAAATATAAAAGCATGTAGGGCTCTTTACCATTATGGTACGAACAGAAAGAACTCTGAGGCCCAAGACACCTAGTATGAAAAACAATTAAACCACTTAGCAAAGGAAAAAAAATATCTCAGTGAGTGGTGAGTGAAGTCCTGATACACATCTGTTTGTGCTTTGTCTGTTTTTTTCAGTGTGAATGCAAACACCAAGCTCCAGCCTGGAACTGTAAGTGAAACAGACTCCTGCCTCCCCTAAGTTCCTTTCTGGTCAAGACATTTTGGAAACAGCACCAGCATTGAAGCTAGGAAAGTCAGTAACATGCTCACTGCAGAAGCATGCGGATCTGATGTGGCAAGTATGTGTGCTCTCTGTGCTGGGGAAGCAGGGACAGGTGGGTCCCTAAGGCTTGATGGACAGCCAGATTAGCCAATCAATGAGCTCCAGGTTCAAGGCGTGACCCTGTCTCAAAAACTAAGATAACGATTGAGAAAGATATCTGATTTTAATGTATACACACACACACACACACACACACACACACACACACACGTGTGCGCAGCACCCTCATGGATGCATGAATCTGTTTGCCTGTCTGTCTGTCTTCTGTCTGTCTGTCTCTCTCTCTCTCTCTCACACACACACACATACACACACACACATGCACATGTGCAGCACCCTCATGGATGCACAAATCTGTCTGTCTGTCTGTCTGTCTCTCTCTCTCTCTCTCTCACACACACACACACACTCACATGGACTCACACACTAAATTAAGCCCTATTCATTGTGAGATCTAAACTCCTCATCAATTGGATCATGAGTCCTCTATGGCCATAAAAAGAATTCTGCCAGAATGAATAAAAGCACATTGTGAGAGATGGTACGCTGTTGGAATTTATGATAAGAATGTTGCATAGGGCATGCTTTGTAAATTGTGTCCTTTATATGAACAAATTCGGACTTAACACTCTATATGCATCATAAACATACACATACACCCACACACACCCTTCTGCACTTCCCAGATATTAAAAACAAAACAAAACACAGCGTGGAGCATTTATGGCACAACACACATATGGAGGTCAGAGAACAACTTTCAAGAGACTGTCCTCACCTTCCACTTGAGGCAAGCCCTCTTAGATGTTTCTGCCGCTGCACTGTCTACTCCAGAATCACTGGCCTGCAACCTTCAGGGTAGTCCCTTCCCTCCCATCTTGCTGTATGAGGGCTGGGATTTCAGATGCCCACTGTAGAATTAAGGTTTTGTTTTTGTTTTTGCTTTTGCTTTTGTTTTTGTTTTGTAGAGGTTGGAAAGATGTCTCAGCGACTAAGAGCACCTGTAGCTCTTTCAGCGCACCAGGGTTCAATTCCCAGCCCCCACCTGAAGGCTCATGACAGTCTTTATTTCCAGTTCTAGAAGATGCAATGTGTTCTTCTGGACTCAAACACTAGGCTATACACATTATGGATAACATACATACATACATACAGGCAAAAAACACTCATTCCCATTGAGAAACAAGAACACAATGATAAAGTCCAAATAAAACCTATGGGGCTTATGGATTCCAACCCAAGACCCCACCAAGGACACCCCAGATTCTGCTTCTCTCCTTTTCAAAAGCTGATCATTAAACAGTTTCCATGACACCATTGGTCCCCACCATAACCTTTGTGAGGGTCTAGGAAGACAAAATTTTCTGTCCTGCCTGATCCCATAGCAGATTAGCCTCAGACAAACACAAAGACTTATATTAATTTATAAACTGGCCAATGGTTAGGACTTCTTACTGGCTAGGTCTCTCTTAATTGTTAACCCATTTCGTTTAATCTAAGTATTTCCACGTACTCTTGGCTTACCTAGTAATGCCCCAGCATGTGACTCCTCCTGACTCTATGTGGCATCTCTTCCTGGAGGTTCCTCTCTGTCTTCCTCTCCCCAGTCTTCTCCTAGTCTGGCAGCCCTGCCTATGCTCCCTGCCTGGCGACTGGACAATCAGTGTTTTATTCATCAACCAATAAGAGAAACGTGTATACATCAGGCCTATTGCCTGCCTGTCTCAGGGATGCCCCCAGCCTCCACAGTCCGATCAGCTGTCGATATTAGATCTCTAAGTGTCCTCTCTGTGTCTATCCTTGCCACCTCCTGTCATTTCTGTCACGCTGGGGATTTAGTTAGGTCTTCAAACGCCCTTAGCGATGCTCTTCCCGAGCAACGTCCTTGTATTTTTCATCTACGGGTAGGGCCTTAATCAAGTTGCTCAGATAGCCCAGGTTGGCCTTGACTTGTAACTTTCCTGCCTCACACTCCAGCAGATAGAATTACATGCTTGCACCACCAGAACCCTGCTAACCTTTCTGAAATTCAAATGCCTTCACTGATTTTTTGTTTTTGTTTCTGGTGACCATTTTACCTTCTGTGAGTGTGAGTCACAGGTCTAAGCAACACAGTTGGTACAGACATGTAAATGCCTGTCTTTGTAGTATAGAATTTATACTCTACAGAGTTAGACATTAGTGAGTTCTATAAAAAAAATCAGAGTAGGGAAGAAAGCTACAGAGGACAGATAACAAGGGTGGCATTAAAAATAATAAAAGTTGCACAGTAGGGCCTCATAGTATTGCCCCTTGGGACTGCCTGGCTTTGAGCTCTGCTTCAGAGTATCACCGGAAGCCTAGCAATGTCTCCGTCCTGTTTGACCTTGGCTGTAGGTCATGGCACCCTTCCTTCTTCCTCTATTGTAGTCCCCTCTGAACCACTTAGAGCCAGCTTTGTTGAAAGCCCCAGGCTTACAGTTTGCTTAGGGAAAGGATTTGCATAAAAATCTGGAGCCTTATTCTAACTTCAAGTAAAATTTGTTACCCAACAGCAAGTGCTAGAGGGGACATGTTGAGAGTGACTAAAATGTCACTGAGAGTGCACATACTTTAAATGAAAGTGGGAGAGTCATATTTTGCTCCCTGGCTGTGTCAGAGAGGCTGCGATTTATGCAAATGGGTATTATGTAAATCGTTCTGCCTGCTCCCTAAGCACTAGAAGCATCCAGAGGCTTGTCTAGGCTGGCCGGTTGAGGTGGACAGGAATTTACTTCAGAGACTTAGGTGTGTTCCATTTTTGCTATCAACATAACAAATTTCCACAAGTTAATGTCTCACTACTACACCTGTATCACCTCTGAGTTTTGTAGATCCAATGCTCATCCTGGAAGTCTTTGGGTTCTCTTCTCAGGACACCATGAGGCAAGCAGCTAGGTATTTTCCAATGTGAGGCTACAGTTAGAATTATGAACTGAATCGTTTGGGATTGGGAGAATTGAGCAGATCAGAGACAGGGCTTTGAGGACGATATCCTGTCCAAACCCCATAACCACAAGAGTAAGAGCATCTCCATATATATGTATGTACACACACACACACACACACACACACACACACACACACATGAGGGGGAAACTTACAACTGAGTGTTCAGCAGTGGTGTGTGGAGTTCATCTCCTGCTCCCTCTGATGCTCGGGTGAGGAGCGTCTTTGAGTGCATGGGCTCACCAAGGAAACCCACTGTCACATCTCGATTCCTGTCCCTTGTGGGTGTACTTCATTACGTCTGTAAGACTCATTTCTCTGTAGAATTACACGGTTATTGGTATAGCATCAGGTGTCAAAGCGACGGGACCCTGAATTTTCTCCACATGGCCCATTGCCCATAATGGCACACAAACCCTTAGGCTTCCTGAATTTATAGACACCTCCTCTCTTGTGGCACTGAGTCACAGACTAGATGACATCAGTTCACAAGCACCAAATGTGAGAGTTCAATTAGAGACAGGCAATGAACCCTGTTGAGTATAACTAGTGGATATGGTTACTTTGTATTTGTGGGCCTGTGATACTAAGGAGACATGCTATTTGTCATCAATACACAGGGCAGGATAGACACAGCATAGTAGATCTGTTCCCCCATCAAAATGGCTGGGACAGTGGAAACTGAAAAGACATCCCCAGTTTAAAGGAATCTTGAAATCCATCCTGGCAAACCCTACCAGACTCCAGGCCTGGGAATGCTGATCCATATTTCTTGGCTGGGACCACTAGGCTCTCTTCATCCCTCAGTCATCTTTCCTCTGTTGTGAAAATGATGAGAATAGGAGACAGAAAGTGGTCTGGTAGGGAAGGGAGCCTGTCCTAGTAAGTTAAAGTCATTTGAGAGGAAGGAGCCTCAATTGAGAAATTACCTCCATACGATCAGGCTGTAGGATAGTTTCTTAATTGGTGACTGATGAACTCGGGGAGGGGGTTAGCTCATTTCAGGTTGTACTACCCCTGGACAGGCAGACCTATGTGCTATAAGAAAGCAGGTTGAGCTAGCCAATAAGCAACACTCCTCCTTGGCCTCTGTGTCAATTCCTGTCTCCAGGTTCCTGCCCAGTTTGAGTTCCTGCCTTGGCTTCCTTCAATGGACTGTGATTCGGGTTGTGTACTTCAAATAAGCCCTTTCTGGGCTGGAGAGATGGCTCAGCTGTTAAAGGCTAGGCTCACAACAAAAAATATAAACCTTTTCCTTCCCAAGTGGCTTTTGGCTGTGTCTCCTCATCATAGCAATTGTAACAAAGTAAGGAGGAGCCTAACAATGTCCACAGTTCCAAAAATATCCTTGCAGGTGGCTGGAGATGTCAGAAGCATGGTCTGGTTCTCAGTTCTTCGTAACCTCCTTAATGGGCATCTCTGCCTACAGGGTATGTGACTACATGTCTGAAACTGAGAGGAGGTGCCAGAGGTGGCATTGCTGATGGCTGAGTTCCCATAACCCCATTTCCCCTTCAATCAGATCTGAGAAAGGCTCTGCCACTCTATGAGTTACCCTGACACTAAAATCCTCTTCCATGCTGCTTCCTGCTTCAGAGAATTTTAGGAGACCAGAAGCCCTTCCATTTTACCCCCTTTCAGTCTCTTTGCAATGTATAGTAGGTGTTCCTGGTACAAAGGACTCAAGAACCTTGTGTGTGGGGGGGTCAGTGGAATCATTTGGGGATTGCTCATCCCAATATGCTGTCTTCATTGTAAAACTGTTACCAGATTTTCCCTTTAGAATGTTTCCCCCCCTTTGAAGCATTTTAGTCCCTAAATCAATAAGCAAAACCCAAACACAGGTATTCATTTGTTCTGAGTAAACTTGATCTCCAGGAATCTGACTTTAGGAAAACAATAGGACAGGAAGGAATTTCATGCTATTTACTTTTGTGGTTACAGAGTTTGGACAGGACATCAGCCCTAAAGCGGCCTGTCACTGATCTGCTATTTGTTTTCCATGACTGTGGAATCAGTTTACATAATCAATGAGAACATTACAAAATACATTAGAAATTCCACTTTGACAACCCCTGGTCGATAATACATGATAAAGAAGCCCATGCATAAGCTAGATGAATATTAAATGGATATATTCATGACTGGTCCTCAAATAGGATGAAATTTGGGCCCTTGAATAGATAGGATGAAATTTGAATTGAATACAATTGAGCTGTTCATTAAACCCAGCATGTCAAAATGGACAATAAGCAAATTAAGAGGCATCAACACTCAAGGACACATATTGTGATAGTAAATAATACAGCAATAAGATTTATCAGAAATTAACAAAGGAAAAAAATAACAGAATGAAAATGTTATAGAATTGATTGGGGAAACAGAAAACATTGTTACAAACAGTATGTTTAAAGAGACTCTGAGTTTGAACCTTAGAATTTCCTTGCAAATGAGAAACTTTGGAGAGGAAAATAATTGTGAGACTGAATACAATATAATATAAATAGATTAAAGAAGACATGGGGTTCTCTACCAACAATTGACAAACCCCGTGTGAACATGCGTGGGTATTTATGAAGATATACATTGACAGCCATCTTCATATTTACACACACAGGCTCCCAAGTACTTGGCTGTTATTTCCCTGAGGCACCTAAGCTGAAATCTGCATTCGGCCACAAAAATAACAAAAATAGTCCATCATTTATTCTTGATGACTGGATGTCACATCTGACACTTACTCAAGCACCAGGAGGGATTCCAAGAGACAAAGCCAAGATCACCTCACAGGTAGACATTTCTGAGATGCTGACATGAAGATAGCCAGAGCACCCCAGCCTCAGTCGCAGATGACTGTGGAAAATTCTGGATGAATTAGGCTGGAGTCTTGTCATTGACACAGGAAGAAAACAGTCCCCTGGTTATTTACTCAGTGGAAAGAGATGCAGCTGACTGGAAAAGATGGCTCTCTACCACCCTCCTTTCCCCTGCCTGTTAAAGAGATTTGTTTTCAAGGTTGCTGAGGAAGGGTGTCAGTTATTACAAGTTCAGATGCTGGGGATCCAACTGCATCACCCAGGACCGAGAATTAGCTGGGGAGAACTGTGTGAGTGTGGGTGAAGGAGTGATGGGAACGTTTGCAGAGAATAGTTGAGATATTTGTGTACATGAGCTTTTGGCATGCACCAGGTATGCTGGGACAAAATGATGGTTCCCGAAGATGCGTCTAACTGGATGCCGTGAACACGGCTTTGTTTGGAAAAGGGATCTTTGCAGATGAAATAAAAGTGGCCATTTTAGGCGAGGACGGGTCCTAAATGAGTAATGCGTCTTCTCTTTGTGGGAAGTAAAGGGGGAGAAGAGAGGGAGAGAAGATGATGGAAGCAGAGATCTGAGGGAGGCATCTGCAGGCCCAGGGGCACTCAGGGTTACCAATAGCAACGAGAAGCTAAGAGAAAGCATGATCCCGACTCTCCCTCAGAGTCTACAGAAACTGCCAACCCAGTTGACCTGGGATAGCAGATTTCTGACCTAATCAACAATGAGGTTAACTCTTTGTTGCTTGAGAATTTCATACACATGCATAGTACATTTTAATTAAATCTACCCCACTTCCTTCCCCTCCCAATTCTCCCCTAGTCTCACCTCTCAATTTTATGTGATTTTTAAAAACCCACTTAGTGCTTGTACGTATGTTCCTGGTCATATGACCATCTAATGGAGCATGGGGAACCTCCCAGGGGCCACATCTCTGAAGAAAACTGACTTTCCCTGTCCTAGAAGCTGTCAATTGCCGATAGCTCATCAGTTAGGGGTGGAACTTCAGGAGGATCTCCCCGGTCCATGCCAGGATTTTGTTTGGCTTGGTTTTGTGCAAGCCTTATACAGGCAGTCACATGTACTGTGATTCATCTTTGCAGTGGCTTTGCCATGGCTTATAAATACCATTTTTTTCTTGCATCTGTCCACTACCTCTGGCTCTTGAAGTCTTTTTGCTCCCTCTTCCTCAGATCCCTGAGCCTTGGAGGGAGAAGGCGTGATATAGCTGTCCCGTCTCTGGCTGATCACTTTCCATAGTCTCTGAGAACCATTATCTGCTCTTCTGAGCTACCCAGTACGTGTGGTAACTTGTTACATAATCTCTAAGAAATACATCTAAATGGGCAGGAGCGGGGAGGGAAAGAAGAAAAGGGCAGAGAGTAGGGAGGAACCAAAAAAGATCCTGCACTTTCATAAATATAGTTCCCAGAATTACTCATCAGAATCCTCTTGGTCCGTTCGTATGGGGGACAACAGGGCACTAAAGACAACGTGTGTACAGATTCATGCACTCTTATTTCTCATGGTACAGACAGCTGAGAAGTCTAGCCTCAGGCCCCTCACTTGAGATCATCATGCTTGTTACCTGCAAAGACCCCATTTACAAATGAGGTCACACACTCTGCCGCATCATAACACGGGTGAAGTTCTTCTGAGATGGTTAGCTTTAGTCTCAACATGTTACAATCTAGAATCAACTAGGAGCATCATAATTGAGGAATTGTCTAGATCAGGTTGGCCTGGGCACACAACTGTGGGGATTGCCTTCATTGTTAATTAGGGTTTGAAAACCCGCCATTTCATAGGCACTGAATTCTACAAATGTGAACAATGCTAGCTGAGTATATACACAAACAAGAAAGTGAGCACATGTCCTTTGGTTTCTCCCTGTTCTTGAGCATGGATATGATGTGATGGGCTACTTGAATTCTGTCTTGATGTCTCTCGTTGATGGGCTATAACCTGGAATTGGAAGCCAAGTAAACATTTTCCTCCCCTAAAACTGTCTTATCATAGCAACAGAAATAAAGATAGAACATTCCCTACTGTAATATATATTATCACTATCATGTATAAAACAAATAATACATTGCATTTTCTGCTGGTGAAGAAGTCTTATTAACAAGACCCCAAAGGGAATTTGAGGTTCTGGGTCAGGTGAATGAGGAAGATCCGCAGCCTAAACTTATGAAACCTAGAGGCTTCCCTGGAGTCCGAGAGGTTCCCTGAAATGATTCACAGGTGTCTGCAGGAAGTAGGTGGTTCAAACCCAAAAGAAATTTGCTGCCTCACTGTTGAGGGTGATAGAGCTATGCACTGAGGTGTTGGCAAGGAGTTCTAGGCCTCCTGGTTTCTGTTGAGCCTGGTCATTCTCTTAAGTACCATGGCTTGTAGACCCCACTCCCCCAGTCAATCTGCCGTGGCTTACAGGGCTTCACCTCCATGTCCCTATACTTTTTTTCTTCTCTCAGACGTTAGATGTAAGCCTGTTGGCACCAGGAAGACTTCATTTGAAATGGCCGTTTAATGATATCTGTAAAGACCCTATTTATAGATGAGACGTCGTGTTCATAGATACTGAGTATCAGTACTAGACATAGCTTTTGGGAAGAATTAACCCAGCATATTGCTGTGACACCTACTTGGGCATGCTTCTCAATTGTGGGAAATATGGCTTCACATATTCCATAGGTGAAAATTAATTGCTCAGGGACAATTGTTTTTGTGCTTCAAAGTTCAACACCTCCCTGAAGATCTCATCCCTCCATATTTAATGTACCTCTCAAAGGACACTGACTGACCTGAGACAATGAAGCAAGAGATACAGAGAAGGGGGACTTCTGGAGGATCTATGTGTCAGGAGAGGGATCCCTTTGGTATCTTCAAAGATGCTCCTAAAGGCTTAAGTTTCATTTCCCTACTTGTGTGGAGTGAAGAGTGAGTCTTGTCCACTCTCACCAGAGTGAACCAGATGGAATGCTAGGCCAACGATCCATTTTGGCAAGGCAGTAGTCAATGTGACCTTTGATGTCAGTTGATGGACGTCTTCTTTACAGACCAGGAGGAGCTCTTAGAAACTGGATGGTGTAGCCAGTATCTGGAGGGTCTGGGCTGTGGGGACATAGCTCCTACAGTCTGACTGGACCAGGCCCTGTTGCACGACTCTCTGCGTCCTGTGCTTCCTGGCCACACAGTCAGGTGAGGTGAGTCATAAGCAAAAGCTGATCAATGGGCCACCTGTCCCAGGACCCTCTAAGGAACCCTCACGCTGGAGTTTCCGGTTCTCTTCAGGGTCATTTCTCCAGGTTCCCTTTAGGGTAAAGAGTACCCAGCTGCCCTCATAGGCTAAGACTCAGGGGGCAGAGAGGAAAGACCCACCTTAGAGGCCTTTGGCTGTTATACGACTGTGCTACCTTTAAGAAGAAGCACAAACATCACAAGGCTGTACAAAGCTGGACACTGACACAATTGATGATGTCTGTGTTTGCTTTTCTCTTTTCCATGAGAAGGAATATTGCTGGGGCTGGTGAGATGGCTCAGCTGGTAAAAATCGCTTGCTGTTGCATGCAGCTCTGGGGACCTAAATTCGATCCCAGGATCCCATGGTAGAAGGAGAGAACTAATTCCTTTGACTTTGGACTACACCTAGGTCAGCACATATATGCTTCAAAGAAAAATAGACTGGCATTTCGAAGAAGAACACAAATTGTAACACCATCCCAGGGGTGGGTGATCCCTTCTGTAGCGAAATGTTTTGATTTATTCTCGTATTTACCAACTGGTGTGTCTGAGAGCACGCCATGCCTCTCAGGTGCTGGGCGGCAGCGTGGCTATTTAGACCCTGTGCTTTGTGCCTCTTGCTCCTTATTCCAGCCACGTAGCTTCTCTTCTGCTTCTACACAAGGTCTTGCGTAGCCAGCCATGTGCCAGAGAGTATTTTGCCACAACCTGAATTCACTTCAACTTTTTTTTTTTGGGGGGGGAATAATAATGGTTGTAATCATCAGAGGTCATGCTGGTTTAACATAGTAAAAGTTTAACTTGCTAGCCACCTTCAATGCCAACAGACTTTAAACCACATGTATTAAATGACTAAATGTGAAAATGAAAAAAAAAAGGAAGAAAGAAAGAATATGGAACATAGGTATATGGGGCCCATCCGCGACCTTGGGAACCAGTTAGAAAACCTTTTATATTTTGAAAGGATTAAATGAGTGGTTGGAGAGAGACATTAAATATGATATACAGTTCTAACAATACATCCATCCAACTAATTGGAGCCTGTTTGCAATAATGAACAAGCCTGTCGCCCATTACCAGTGCACCAGTCAACATTAACAATGGCAACATTGTGTGTTCTAGGGACCAGGAAGACTGTGATGTGAAAATTATCCCATTCTTGGCTCCTTCAGCCATGATTTCAAATTGAACCCTTAGAGAAATATTTGGTTAGGTTCAAGCTTTCAAACTAATGTAAATGCACTTTAAAAATTAAAATAAATTAGAGACTTTTTTAAAAAACCAGAACTATGTGGGCTGGGTGGATTTAGCTGTAAATTTAGACAGAATAAGGTGTGTTGGAGGCAAGCTCCCAACAGGAGTTTTAAAAGTTAAACAAAACACATCAGCGTGATAAAATCCCAGGCAGGATACCTGGTGCCAGAATGAATAAGGAGCTTCCAAGAGTACTGGCTGGGAACGGTGGCAAATACCTATTCAAACCAAAGAGAATCAAAAGACAGACTGTATCTACAGGTTTTATGTGCAGTGGTTTTTGACTGAAATGACACATTGTCAAAAGTTTTATCTTTTTTTATGTTGAATTTGTGTTAGGAAATCTAATGGAAGCTAATAGAAGTCGTGGGCCACACAAGCCCATGGAAGTCAAAGAAGAAAACCAGCCACCTGATGCTAAGGTACTGTTCTAGTCCCCTCTGAGGCTGCAATAAAACACTGGCTAAAAGCAGCTTAGTGGAGGAAAGGGTTTATTCGGCTTACACTTTTTCATGCCACAGTCCATCACTGAGGAAAGTCTGGAACTCAAGGCGGGGTCTTGAAGGCAGGCCTGCTGGCTCTTCCACGCAGCATCGTCTCTGGCCAAGGAACTCATCCATAATCAAGGAACTACAGCTGGGACCATGATGGGTGCTGTTGCTGGGGCTTGCCCTTGTATAAAGCCCAGAAACAATTGTCCAGGGAACGGTGCCCTCCCCCCAGGGTGGACCAGACCCTTCCACATTAATGAACAATCAAGACAATTCCTCACACATGTGAGGCCATCTGTGATCTGGGCCAGCCTGAATTGGGCAGGCCCCCACGGGGACATGACTCTGGGCTGTGTTAAGATAAAGCTGAAATAAGAAAGCGGTCCCCTTTTTTCTTTTTTCAAGAGCCCAGATAAGTTCCACATTCCTGCATCACTCATTGAGGTCTTCGATCTTCATGGGTATTTGGTGGGCAGGGTAATAGCCTCCCAAGCACCCCATTCGGTGTGTCCTATCTGTACTATCTGCTGGAGTCAGCAGAGTTCTTTAAGACTGTGAAACAAGGATTTCAGTTGTCCACTCATGTGCCTTACAGGTTTCCAGGCTCTTATGGAGTGTGATGTTCTCTGTCTTCTCTCAGGTCCATTGCTGTTACATCTGGTAGGACTGGACCCGTTTCCTCTGCCTTCTAGTCCTTGTGAGCCACTTTGAGAGTGGGTGGGTGGTGGGAGGCAGAGGGAAAGCCAGGGCCCCTCCCAGGTTTCCGTTGGCTGAGTAGAGCCCCTGGCACCAGTTATTTCTCTGTTATGGTTCCCCTCTGCCACTGGCCCCACTCTGGAGTTGGTCCTTGTCCCTCCATCCTAGGGGAGGAGATAGCCACCTCTTGAGTTCTCCCGGTTGCCTTACTTTCCGTCACGAAGTTTTGTTTTCTTCAGAGTATTTAATTTTGACAATTACATGTTATATTAAATTATCTGATAGGAATTTTGTATCCCTGGCAGATACACCACCGAATCAGGGTGAGTGAAATATAGACTAAAAAACACAGCTTAGTCTTTGCTTCAGAGGCTGATAACAGAGATGAAGAATTCCAGAACAGTGTTGTGCAGAGCATGATGTGGCAGGTGACAATTCTGCAGCCACAGAATGTGATGGGGACACAGAGAGCGTATGCTCTACAGAGAATTTATGCTTAGCAGGGACGTGGCTTGGAAGCATGGCGGGAGTTTCAAGACAAAATGGTGGAGAAAAATTTCCATCAGAGAGTATCAGTGATCATACAGATAATCAGATAATACATAGAGGAGGGGACTGCAGGAAGAAGTACCCCATTTCTGTTTCTTGTTTGTTTGTTTTTCGAGACAGGGTTTCTCTGTATTGTGTTCGAGGCTGTCCTGGAACTTGCTTTGTAGACCAGGCTGGCCTGGAACTCACAGTGATCCCGCCTGCCTCTGCCTCTCGAGTGCTGGGATTAAAGGCATGCACTACCAACACCTGCTGGAGTACTCCATTTCTAACACCTGGGAGGGACTAGGCAAGGTGGAGTCAGTGACACATGCCGTAGACAATAGAAACCAACTCCCACAGTTCTAGAGGCTAAGACTCCAGCATCAACATGACAGAGGAGTACATGTTACCTCTTAGAGGTCTTCCAGGTACTGATGGCAGTCTTAATTCTTGGTGTTCCAGGATTAAGATGCCTCACTCCAATCCCTGTTACTATGTGATGTTTTCCATGTGTGCCCCTTCATAACCAAATTTCTGTCTTAACAGGGACTGTAGTCATCTATATGGTAGACACTGTGATCTACTCTGACCTCGACTTGATTTCCTCTTCGACAGCCTTTTTTTCCAGATCAGGACACACACAGAAGTCCTTGAACTTCAGGCTCAGACACATGTTTGGGAGGGTCCTAATGCTATTCACGACAGGCAGGTTTATGGGGAGATGGGTGTGTTTGGTGACAGGGTGTAGTTTCAGTAGGGCTAAGGGTAAGGCACTCTTTGCTCTATAGGCATGTTTTCCAGGGGGTTGGACAAGCCCCAAACTCTCCTTTACCAACCAAATCAAAAGCAAAGCAAGCCAACACCGTCTCCAGGTCATGTGACCTGCTGTCCTTTCTCTTCCCCAAAGAAGCCGGCGAGTCTGCCCTTGGCTACCCAACTCTACATGCTCGATCCACCCGTTTACCGGCTATTCTAGCTGCTCGTTTCACTCTGCATGCTGTCAGCCGCCTTCCACTTGCTATACTCTGCCACACAGGATGGATGATCTTTCCTGCCCTCCCTACAGCCCAGCTTCTGGAGAACCACATTTCTCTCACCCCAGGCTGCTCCTCTCTTTTCATTTCTATGGCCACGGATGATCTCATCAGTGCCCCCAAAGCTCTGAAGTCAACCCCAATGATGTCTCTGAAGTTAACTTCCGAAGCGTTAATCTAAATAATCTTAATCAATAAAAATCTGAGAGTCAGATATCAGGGTAAAAACCTGGAAGATCAGAAAATCAGGAGCAACTGTCGGTTGTTTCCTACCTGTCTCCTTCCTCTGACAAAAAAGGCTAAGATCCTGTCTACACCCCCATCTTATCACTTCCTGTCCCCCCTCTAGTGCTGGGGTTAAAGGTGTGAACCACTGAAGGCCAGGATGTAATTATATCACTTGTAGTGTGTATTCTTCCCACCAGCCTGGTCCCAGAACAATGTCAGTCCCAAATGAACATGCAGGATGCTATGTTAATTATGAAGCTGTTGGCTGTTTGCTATTGTTTCTTAATGGCTAGTTCTAACTTAATTATTAACCCATAATTACTAATATATATTTTTATAAGGTCTTATCTTACCGAGAACACAAAACTTGCACCCTTTCCTCCTGGGATCACATGGTGACTCCCTATTCTAGACTATATTTCCCAGAATCCTCCTCAATTCCTAGTCCCACCTATCTTGTTTCCCTATTGGCCAACAGTGCTTTATTTATCAACCAATAAGACAGCATATACACAGAAGGACTTCCCCCATCATCTCCTCTTTTCTGTCTAAATAAAAAGAAAGGTTTTTAACTTTAACATAGTCAAATTATATATATCAAGGCAATTATTAAGCAAGAACTATAAATACAATATTTAGCCCATTAGCATTTAGCAAGATTTAAAGAAAATATCATCTATGTTATCTTTGTTAGTCTAAAGTCTTATATGTAACTTATCTTTTATCATAATTAAGGAAAATTATAATTATAACCATCTGTCTTCAACTCTATCAAATACCACAGATGGATAATATATAAACACTAGAATTGACAGAGACATCTCACTACTGGGACAGTCACCCGAAGTTCCTCTGTAATGTTGGGGCATCCATCTTCAGCCAAGAGGCCACAGTGGGTCTGTCAGACTTCTTAGCAAAGTATGAAATGTTAAACTGCCCATCTGCATTGGCAGTTTGTCAGTCATTTTGTGTGTATGTGTGTGTGTCCCGTAGAATATGTGGCAGACTGTTCCATGAAACAGGAACCCTATAGCAGTGTCCATCTTATTTTTCAAGTTTAGCTGTCACTTTCCTGTGGGTCCAGTTTATACAGCAACAATTAAACAGTCCAGGCAAGAGCAGTTTCTTGCCCAAATGGCTAATCTTGGTATGTTGAAAGCAAACTCCATAATGAGTTTCTTCAATGCCCATCTTCCTCTCAGATGTAATTGGTGTGCCAGGAGTAGTAGTGTCTCACTATCATGAAAAACCCTAAACCATTTAAATGCCATTTTCTGAAGGTCTTTGAAAGGTTTGAAGACTATCCATCTCAAATGCATCTCTGTATATCTAGAAAACCCAACTAACCTAACTATAAGTTTTGACTACTAGATCCAAGATAAATGATAAATGGGTGTTTATTGGGGAACATGTGCACAGAAAAATGCAAAGAAACACTGGAGTGTTTCCCTGCTCTTCCTACCAGATCCGCTGACCCACCAGTAAGAGTGCACAAAGGAAAGCCACACCTCAAGCTTTCCCCTTCCGTCCTCCTGAAACCACACCCAAAGGGGCGTGGCCACCATTACAGGTCCACAGACCAGATGCCTACAAACCACCATGCCTAGTTTCTATGGTTAAGTAGTAGCTAGCTCCACCCTCTGATCTCCAGGCAAGCTTTATTTGTCAGAACACAAGCAACATATCCCATGATCACTACTCCTCAGTATTCTGCTATGTCTCAGATTTTTTACAATAACTTGCATGGTCTTAGTAGCCTTAGCATGCTCACATTGCCTGAGTGCAAGCTTACAAACAAGAATCTGACCATGTGACTTCCCTGCTTAAGGCCTTCCGTGCCTCTCACCTCAGCATGTGGATGAGTATCTCACGGTGATGATGGGCTCTGAGGGGTATGTGCAGCCTCATGGCTGCCTCCTTCTTTGAATTCCCCAGGATAGGTGTTTTCTTGCAGATGTGATCCCCACACTCAAACACTACACTGGTTTCTTGGGGGACCCTGACTGCCTGTCTGTAGTGTCCTGTCTCACAGAGTCTTTGTCCAATAGGGGAACTGGTCTCTTTCTGTCTTCACTTATTTATCCAGTGCTAATGGAACACTACACAGGCTGCTGGGATTGGAATGAGAAATGTCCAATAAGCTCCTATGTTTGAACACTCAGTGTTGGTGGTACTGTTTGGGCAAGTTACAGAACTTTTAGGAGATGTGTCCTTGTTGCAGTAAGTATATCCCTAGGGGCAGACTTTGAGGGTTTATAGCTCGGTCAATTTCCAGTTCTCTCTCTGCTTCCTGAGTGTGGACACATTGTGATGAGCCAGCTTCCTGATCCCACTATCATGTCTTTCCCATCGTGTTGTATTGTGTCCCTTTGGAGCATTAAGCCAAAATATAAACCCTTTCTCCTCTAAGCTGCTTCTTGTTAGACATTCTATCAGAGGAACACTAAATAAGCTAGCACACAGATGGGCCACATGAAACCCTAGTACTGTCCTTGATAACAATGATAAACTAATTCCTTTTAGCATGGGGTTGGACTCCCTTGTCACAGATCACAGGGTGCTGTGAGTGCCCATCTCTTCCAGCCATGCCAGCCTGTCCACTGGCATCTGTAGTTGTAAGATCACCATGGGACTGTAACAGGGGCTACTGTCTTTAACACCTGTTTCAATGAAGAACACATGTAGCTTACTAGGTAGGTACTCTACTAAGAAGATGGAGAGGGCCATCTGTGTTTCTGTGGCAGGATACTGGAACTATTGTGAGACCAGGATGGGGGTCACTAGTGAGCACAGAATTTGGGGAAGCTGCCATCAACAGGATGAGGAGGAGACACAAACACGAGCTTCCCATTGTAAGCTATATTCTTCTTAATTTAAGATATTCCTCTATCCAATTGTAATGTGTCCTACAGGTAATTTCTTTTCCATATTTAACACATCTCTTCCATTTTACCTATCATAAGTCACTTTATGACTCATATCTATGCCTCTTCCATCCTACAGTTTCTCTGTTTCATAAACTGTCTTGATTAAGGTCCATGCTTAATGTTCCTGTAGCTCATCTGCTTTACTTCTTTACCCTTATAGAAGAACCAAATGTTTTTTTAGACAGTTAAATAAACACATATTTTATTTTCATGTATCTGATTAATGGGGAGTAACAATTCTAAAATCATTGTAGCAGGTAGTCATATGTACTAACACTCGGGAAGAGCTAAAGCAGCACCTTGGTGCACATTTGTAGCTGTAAACAACTTAATTTCAATATGCATATGACTATATGATTTTGTCTTACCTCAACAACACATAGTCTTGAAATAAGACTAATGAACAAATGATTTACACATTAAATCCACAAAACTAGACAATGAAGAGCAGCAGGGTAAAGAAACAGAAAGGAGAGGGTTTATTTTGGGAGAGAAGTTAGAAGCTAGGGTAGCTCCAGTTAACACCAAACCCAGCAGCTCCAGTCCCTGGGGAATTAAGCAAGCAAAGGAATATAGCTGAAGACTTAAATATAACTGTGTGCTTTAAGGCAAGGACAGGGATTGCTGCTGGGTACTCTGTACTGCTGTTTATCATCACAGGTCTACAGTGCTTGGGGAGCAGGGGACAAATAAATGTCAGTCACGTGACACAGAGGTGCAGTTACACAGGAGGGTGCAATTTCCAGAGGCTGACTGTGCAGCTAGACAATGGTAAGTAAATGTGTTATACTGACATCTTGGAAGCTGTAGTGAGAGTGGATGCTCAGAGCTGTCCACACACACACACATGCTGCCTCTGTGTGATGCAATAAAGACCATGGCAGCTTGTTTAGCAATTGCTATGGAAACCAGGGGAATCTAGCCTAGAAAATAACTGTCAAGGGAAGGATCTGTGGGAGGGTAGTGAGCTAGACTCAACTTTTTTTTAGTGATTTAGTAACAAATATCATGTAATTTCCCCCATGGACATGATATTTAGATGTTGCTAAAAGCCCAGCTTCAAGCTATTGCCTCACAATGAAGATGGCACTAAGTGGAGCCATGTGCCTGCTACTGTGGTTGGTTTGAAGGAGGAACATCCTTCACAGGCTCAGGTGTTTGAACACTGGGTTCCCTGAAGGTGGCGCTGTTTGTGAAGTTAATGGGAGTCGTTCTCAACCTGTAGATCATGACCTCTTTGTCAAGCCTCTGTCCCCCCAAAATATTTATATTACAATTAGTAACAGCTTAACACTATCAAAATTACAGTTATGAAATAGCAATGAAGATAATTTTATGGTTGGGGTCACCACCAGTTGCCATTTATAGATCATCTGCCTTTAGACCTTGTTTTGGCAGTGTGTCTCTGTCTTACCATTCAGATCATCCTCCCACCACCAACTAGCATCCACCACACCAGGGGGTAAATAGATGCTAATATGTTTGAATGTTCTAGGTGGTGACTTGGTGCTTCCAGACCTTTGGGGGGGGGGGATGATTTCATCCTTGGGATGGGCAGATCCTAGATAGCATTTAAAGTACCCACATTCTTGACAGTCTTAAGTATTCTGGATTATGCCGTGTTGTCCCCTGGCAGAATTCAGGGATGATGTAAACACCAACTGTGTGGCCCTGGGTATTAGCTGCCCTTTTTCTCCCCCAGAGACTGAGGAAGCCAGGCTCCTGGGGCTGACCTCAGCCCCTCCGGCTTCAAGCTTTTGTTACACTAAAATGGCTGAGTGTCGAAGTAGTAACTGTCCCCCAACCCCCATGCTAGGTCCTCCCTGGCATTCAGAACTTTACATCGTAAGGAACACCTCCCTCACTTTCCTTAATCCTAAACAAGACCACTGGTCAAGTGGACGCCAAAGAAACACGTGGGGAAGTCCAGAAGACAAGCCAGAGATGAGCCTCAAGCACAAAACAAATAGATGTTTTGCATTTCCAGAGTCACCGAGAGCAGTCCCTGAGCATTAAAAATCGTGCACCCACATGGAATAATTGGAAGTGAGATGTGAGGGAATCGCATCGTGCTGATCTACTTACAGTGGGATGAATGGCTCCTCACAGCCAACTGCCAGATGGACCACTGCAGTCAGTAACTCCAATGCTGAACTTCCCCCAGGCGCACAGACAGTTTTACCACCAACTGTGGACTGTTTTTTTTTTCCTTTTCTGCCTTTTCCTGAGGTGGTCTGGCACTGGGCCAGAGCTTTCTGAGATCTTGCAGAGGGGAGGGGCACCTGCCCAATGTCTTACAGTTTCTTGCTGAGTGTGCTGAGCCTTAGAGGCACGCAGAGGGCCCTGGATGTGCCCTGCTTTATTCCTCTGCAGTGATGGCTCAATTTGTGGTAATTTACAGGAATAAAATATGCATGGCTGTGTCACCTGAAGAATGCGGATGGCACTGTAAGGACTTTGTTGTCAAATAGAATCACCAGAAAGGGGACTCGGGGGAGCAGATGTCAGGGACACAGTTGGCTATAGAGGGAGGCTTAGGAAGGGTCTAGGGTCTTCCCAAGGACTCTGAGCTCTTATTACAAGACATGTTTGATACGGAGCCAGTTAACTGCTTCGTTACTAAATCTGGAGGCTGCCCGCAAGTATGCAGTTGACACGAAGGGTCTATCAGAGTGTTCTAGACAGAGTCAATTGAATGAAGAGAAGAAGGAGTAGAGGAAGAAATGGAGGGAGGAGGTAAAAGGGAAGGATGGAGGAAAGGAGAGAGAAGGAAAAGGATAACTGGGTAACTGACAGACAGATGATAGAAGATAGTAGCTACACAGCTAGATATATAGCTTATAGAGAGACATGATAGGTAGATGATAGAGATTGATAGCTGATATAGTAGCTATCTATATATGTAGATTATAGATATATGGATGATAGATGATATATATATATAGATAGATAGAGAGATAGATACATAGATAGGTGATAGAGAGATGATAGATAGATAGATAGATAGATCAATGATAGCTATTTTATGATTCATAGGATTTTACGCAACAGAAAAGTAGCTAGATTCATATTAAATGAGGGAGAACTTTCTGGGAGGGTCATTTCTTCAACAAACTACTATGCATGGCAAGGACACAGCAGGGTTTCCAGGTGGATTAGGACTGGAGTCACAACTGGGGCTCCTGGCCATTTCTTGTCATTGCTATTTGTCCATGTGGGCAGTATTACATTTCTTCTCACATTGCTGGCTTTCCCACATCATGAAGACATCACCCTGAGATTCTAGGTATCTTGAAGAGAAGCCCTATTTTTCATTGTCTGAGTCTAATGTCTCCTCTTAGGTTGAACAATTAGGGACCTGTGGCATATAGGCATATAGGGAGGGGGTGGGGCACGGGTGAATGGGGTGCAGGCATCATCACTGAACACACATCACCATCTAAGCAGCCTCTCTAGAGGACAGTGAGGTGTCAACAGCATCATCTCTTTTCTGAGGACGCTGGAATGGGGAGAGAATTCAGCCGGAATTTGACTTGAGGTTCAAGCAAGATGAGCAAATGGTAGACACAAAAGCCACATGCTAGAGAGAAAGGACTCCAACTACCAATGAGGCTTGAGCACCACGCTCAAGTAGCCATTTTATAGCCTCACCATGTGACCCCAGAGTGAACACAAACAAACTTCAGCTTCTTTCTTTGATTTTCTAGCTACATTTACCCAGCAGCATTGTGGTGTCCATGCTTTGACTCCTACAGTGAGCTACTTTGCACTGCTAGTAAGTCACCACTCTAACTTCCACTTTTCTGAGACTTACTGGAATCATTATGCAGGGCTGGTGCACCATCCCAACATGCTTCCCACCCTACACCTCTTTCCCTAGTTCCCCACTACCTCCCTGCCATATTAAGGATAGAATCTGGCTTCTTATACATTTAAGACAAGTGTTCTAAAAGAGGTCATGGCAGAGGACTTATTATCATCCCTGCCCATCCCAAAGCCATCTTGCTATTTGAAGCACTACAAGAAGCCATACTCTGTATACATATGGTTTTTTTTCCAGATCCCGGAGCACAGCCGCTGTTTTTAAGGGAGATAGAGCTGAAATGAAGCTTTTAAGGCCACAAATTTGGATCTCCACAATATTCCTATGAGCTATAAGAGTGTGTGGCCTGGGACCAGGCTCTGAGCTAGGAGCCATTAATGGAGTTGGGCAGCTGAGCCCTACAGAGTAGACCTTCCCTTAGACTTCCCTGGTCTCAGTCTGCTCATCTCATGCCTGTTCTCAGGCTTAGTGCTGAGGACCTGCCACTTCTTCAGCAGCAGGAAACCTGAAAGAGACATGAGCAGGAGGCTGAGGTGCCCTGCTTGCTTGGGTGTTTGCCTCTCTGGCTTTCACTCTTGCCCATGGCAGATGTATCCTGTGCCTTGCCAGCCATTCCTACTTTTGTAATTTTTTTTAAAAGGGCCTCAAGAGAGAAGATACCATGTGACAGAGTTTAAGTGGATTTTTTTAAATTAAGGTAAAAGGATCATAAAAGGGGGGAAAGGGGAGAGACTGGCCTCTGGGGCAGGGACAGCAGGAGAGAGGAAAAAGAGGCAGAGAAAAGAGGGAGAGAGAGAGAGAGAGAGAGAGAGAACAGAGAGAGAGAGAGAAAACAGAGAGATGAGAGAGATGAGAGGGGGAGAGAAAAGAGGGAGAGAAAGAGGAAGACAGGGGTAGGGAGAGGAGGGCAGAACCCTTTTAAAAGGGAACATAGTGACTAGGCACAGGTGGTACTCTTTGAGGCAGCAGCTGAGGGTATATCCTGCCAAAGGCAGGCCAGTACAGATGCCTGAATATTAACACCTACTGCCTCTGACCTATGTGGGTTGACAGTCACCATTTGAGCACTGTGAACAGAGAGGTTAGCAATGGTCCTTAATAAACACAGAAACACATTACAAAAACCCAACAACATAAAAGCCCACACAATCCAGCCCATTAGAATTCCAAGTACACTTTCTCTTCTATGTTTGGATCACTGATAACAAATCTCTGGTCAGTGGATGCCCCCAAAAGGAGCCAGAAAGGGAGACACCCGTCTCTGCTGCCGCTGTTCCGACAGGGACAGACACTTGCTGGGACCCACAGCAGTAACTCAATTGTGGTATTAACGGGTCTAAATAAAGAGATCATTTATTAAAGAGGAACTGGGCAGTGGCCTGGCCATGGCTGGGGACAGAGTGGCTTCTGGAAGCTGGGTCTATAAGGAGGGGGAAGGGGACTCCGCTGTTTCTGGTGAAGTGAGGATTCCGCCTAATGGGCATTGCAGCACCTGGCTTGAAGGCCCAGGGCTTTCCATCCCCTTTGGGCTTCAGAATACTGTGCCCAGGAGGTTCAGACATGCCCCAAACTCAGCATGTGGGGATCTCAGTAAAGGACAAACAAGGAAGGGAAGCCAAGTGCCCTGTTCTAGTCAGTTTTACTTACCAGCTGAGGAGGGCATCCCAGTCATGGCCTTTTTGGATCAGATGGGCCGGTGGGAGCTATCTTGATCACAAAGCCATGTCAAACTAGAATCTAGTGCTCACCCAGGGTTCCTGCCCATGTCTCACTCATCCAGCAGTGACTATGTATTGCTCTAATATTTCTTTCAACTTCCGAGTTTTCTTTGATTTTTCTCAGCAAAAAAAAAAAAAAAAATTCCAACCTGTTTCCTAGATGCTGTTTGCAAGTGCATTTCTTTTTAAATATTGAGGCATGAGAAAGCTTCCCCCGCCCCAATTTAAGGCTTTGAAATGAGTATTAAAACCTGTTTATAGTCATTTATGTAATTTGACATGCTGTAAATTCTATTCTTAGTAGTGTAACCAGCTTCAAAACAAGCTGGATTTACTTTACACAGCAATAGTACAGTAGTTGATGGACTTATTTGGATGCTACTGGAAACAAGTAATGATGTAACATTTCCACACTTTATAGAAGCATTCAATTAAAAACAGCTAAAGAGGTTTAAATAAACAGACTGAAAATAAAATGCATAGTGGAGAGATGGCTCAACCGTTAAGAGAGCTTGCTGCTTTGAGGCGGACAAAACCTTAGTTCCTAGCACCCATGCGGGGAGGCTCACAACATCCTGTTAACTCCAGCTCCTAGGCATCCAGCGCCCTCTTCTGGTCTCCATGGGTGCCTGCACTCACTGGTGCCCATTCATTTACAGGCACAAACATATACATATAAATAAAATTGAGACAAATCTTTAAACATATAAAGTATAAAAAAAATACATTCATAATACTCATATATTCAGTCAAACTTGCAAGCAAAATGTCTGTAAACCAATACATTTTCTAAGAGTATCTCACTCAATTTTTTTTCCTTATAAGTGAATAGATCAAGCACAATTTTGATAGCATTTTGGTTTGAATTTGAATATCGTTCACAGCGAGGACTTAAAATCCCCATTTTAAAAGATGTCCCTGTTGAATTTAAGCAGCGTATACACTGAAAGCAGCATAAACATGGCACAGGGTCCTACCAACCCCATGTGAAACCATTCCTATTTTCAAACTCATAATGTATAAGCTAAAATCCCACACACTGTCGCAACCAAGGTTAGGTAAGACACTGTACTTTGGATCTGAGACACCATGAGGCTGTAGGGATGATTTACTTAGATGACCAGTTTCTCTTAAGTATAATATATTTGCTTTGCATTGCAGGAAAATATCTACAACAAAATTGTGCCATTTGAGATGAAGTTGCCAATGAACACATTTCACGTTTTTACTTTCCCAGACTAAGACAGCACCCCTCAGAGCAAGGCTCTGAAGTCTGATCTCCACTCATTGTGGTACTCAGATGTGCAAGCCAGGGCTGTGGCTGTTCACATACAGGGTCCTCCCCAGCTCCCACTATGTGCACAAAGTCAGAGTCATGGTCCCTTCAGATGGCGGCAGGAATTGCTGATCTCTGTGACAGCCATTGGCCAGCACTGCAGTTGCAGTCCCCTAGGCAGATCCAATCCCTAGACTGACTCTAAATGACCACCTCTTATCTTGACTGTGCCTGCACGAATGTGAGAAAAATCTTAACCTGGAGCAGTGGCTGAATTTAATGCCTGTCTGCTGGTCTCTGAGATAGATGGATGGCTCCCTCTGGTCTAACAGATCTGGGCCAGCAGCCCAGGGATCTTGCCTTACAAAAAAATATGCTGTCCACAGAATTTCCTTTTGTGACCTTGTGCCTGTCCTTGTTTACAGCCTTTGGTTTTCAGGCACACTGCAAAGATGAGCTATGCGTGTCTACCGTGTTTACTTGCTTATCTCAGGAGAATGAGCTAGGATGCCTGCCTCTGCTCTATAAATGAGAGGACCAGCATCCTCATCTCTGAAGAGAGGTTGCCTGAGCATGTGCCCCATCCCTTTGGCTACCTGTTGTCTGACTTGGTCT